TGACAGATTGTGTTTGTTTGATTTTAAATACAGACTGTATAGTAATCCTAGGAAAGGAATAGTTTTAATTTTAAATATTTTATAACTAAATTCTCCCAATCCCATGAGATACATTAAGTAATAAATAAAACCCAAAGGTTCGTTTGATGTGAAAAACCTCATCAGATGACAAAGGCGGGTGGAGTTAGTGCTTTTATTTATCACTGAAAAGCCTTTTAATTTATTTTATTGTTCATTACACGGAACAATTTTCACTAAGACATATTTACAGTTTAACATCATCGTGTTTTCCCGCGTCAGCAAAGTGCAGCTCCACTTCAGCTCGAGTTCTTCACCAGGTAATAGCAACAAAACACTCTGCCCAAAAGAAAAATAACTCAAATAAAATAATCATCAGTAACCGTTTACTTAGGCTCCCCACAGGAGGCGGTGACCTCTAACTTTAACAACAATTTATTCTTCCTAAATGCTGATACATACAACATATCGCTGTGAATCATTCTGGATAAAAAGGCAGATTCATGAAAAAAACCCTGTGAAAAACAGAAAAGGCCCCAGACAAATGACACAAACATTTAGTAAAAGCACAGATAAATAATGTGACGTCAGGAGAAACTGACTCAGCTCAGGAATTAGCAGAAAGTTTGTGTTTAAATGTTAGATTTCCTTCAAAGTTTCTGAATGGGTAAAATGTACCAGCTTATCAGAAGACAAAAAAAAGGGACGAGACCTTTTAATAAAAAAGGTGTACTTTCAGTTCCCAGATCCATCTTTAGGAAAAAGAAAGAAGAGCGAGGCATCTCCGGCTCTCCTGTGATATGGTCATTATTCATGAGCACTACCGTCATGCAACTAGTCATTTCGTTAGAGGCAGATAGGTTACTTCTGGAGTCAAAATCTTCATATAAAGTGTTGAACATCAGATTTCCTTTGCAGTCTCCTGTGCCTCCAGTCCAACATGCTGATGCACATCCCATAAAAACAGCATGAGATAATTACTAATGATATAGTTAGTTTTTCTAGATTAACCACAAACCAAACCTGAAACACTGAAAAGGAGGAATTGTGAAACACAACACAGTTGATATTGACACTGAAGCCTGTAAAAGGTGCTTTTTTTTTTCTTATTTAATCCTAAATAAAAAAGGGGTTTTGTCCAAAAAATTTCACTATGGATAAAGTAAGACCTACATTACTATGATAAAAGGAAAAAGTGGTGCTGGAATTTCACAGGTTGATATTAGAAAGAGATACTTTTGTCTTGAATAATTTGTATACAATTGCAAAAATAACTGCAAGCATAATCTGTGTTTCCATACAGACACCTGATATGATGATTTCACGATCAATGAACTCAAACATCATGCAGGCACAAACTGGCCTGAAAGTGTTGGTATTTATTCTATAAGTAACTTATGAACGCCAGTTTGTGTGTATGTTTTAGACTGAACTGAACTAATAGACTGAACTGTAACAATTGATAATAATCCTTTCAACGGAATCATTTTAATTATCATTTACCAAGGGACTTCCAACCGGGATGAAAAATAAAAAAAAGGTTATATATCGACAAAACAACATTGATGCGTTAATATGAAATCTTCGAGACGCAACTTTAACCAAGATTTTTGTTTTGTATTTCACCACTGAGGTGTTCAATGTCCTCAGAAAAACCTTGGATATCTGGCTTTTCTCTCTCACAGATCCCGATTCATTATTTCACACGCAAACCCCTTTGTCGTAGCTTTTAGCCCTTTCTTTAAAATAAAATAGAAATCAGAACCTGGCAGGTTAAATCATTATTTGCTTTTTTTTCTGGAAAGTGAAGCCAGTATAAAAAGCAGCGTTATTTTACACACAGAAGAATAAAACACATAAGTCTGTGATGAGACGTCTCCCCTCCACATCTTGTAGTGTGAGGGTGCGTTTAGTTTAGTCCAGCAGAGAGGGAGCGCTTGCTTTGCACTCCCAGGCAGCCAGGGAGGGCGGGTGGTGTTCCCCTCCTCTGATTCCTGAGCTATTGCTTCGATATTACCACCTGGGAGTCAACTTAAAACACGCTCCGTTAGCTCTCGTTAGGCTTCAGACTCTCCCTTCTTCTTCCCCTCCTCTCCGGCGTCGCTGTCCTCTGATTGGCTGTTGCTGAGCACGAGGAACTGCTCGTCAGCGGCGGGCGGGTTGCCGGGGCGACTCGAGGCGGCGATCAAACGGCTCTGCTCCTCCAGATCCTGCAGGACAACAAACACAGCTCTCAGGTTGGAGTTCATGAAGATAGTGTTGTGAAAATACAATGCAATTACCGAGCTTACATTATTCATATTTACTCCATCTTCCATAGAAACAATTATTAGATCTGTCTATGAAACAATCTGCAGACTAAATGATGGTTAGTTCATTTGTGAAATAACCTGGAGAGGCCACATGTAAATAAAAACATAAATATAGTATACTTTATAATATTGTGTTAAAATATTAGATTTCTTTTGAACGGATATCAGAGCAGAGCAAAGCATTTCAGAAGACTAAAGCTTTTTTCATTCAGTTTCCAAAATGGAGAAAAGTCAACAAAAAATGGTAAAAGTGTGATTTGGGTTTGTGTTTATAAAATCATATCCACAAATTAAATATCTAACACTTTTGTGAAATTGCATTAAAAAGTTCAAGCTTACATTATAGTAGATTGCCATAGGATTTTCCATACCAAACAATTATCTGATTTATTTAGAAAATAACCAACAGAATAATTATAACAAAAAAAGTTCATTTCATGTCAAATGTAGAGGGTATATCTATTTCTGCGCAGAAAAGGTGATCTATCTTATCCAGAGCAACTTTTCAGTTGAGGCTACAGGTCACCTTCTCGATCTGCTTCTGCTTGCTGAGCTCCTCCTGCTGTTTCTCTTTGGCCTTGTCGGTCTCCTTCCTCTTCTCCACGGCCTTACGGTCCTGAACAACAAACACAGCGAATATTATTCCCCTCCGCAACACCACCTGAAGACAGCAGCATCACAGTGTAGTGAGAGAGATTATCTTCAGTGTATTGAAGTTTTAAAATCAGTCTCACCATCTCAGAGTGGAAGGCTATCTGTTTTGCCAAGCCAACGCTGTCGCAGATCTGAAAGAAATGAAGAAGAAGAAAACGCGTCAGACAGACACAGTGTTGGACAATAACAGATGGATAGACAGACAGCGGACGACCTTCTCTCCGTCGTTGTTGGACTCGAAGATGTAGCAGACGGCTCGGCTGTCCCCCGGCCCGCCTGCAGGCTGCAGGACCAGACCAAACAGCCTCTTGTTGTCCTGATGGGACGAACACTGGAGCACCGTGCAGAGAGGGAACTGCAGCAGGACAGAGGAGGAGTACAAATCATTGGAAATAACAATGTTGTAACCTAAAACTATCTGAACAGAGGAACAGAAAGCCTCTCACCCTGAGTCGAGTGACTTGCGTCTGAGGATCAATGAGTCTGAAACAAAAAACAAACACATGTTACTGCACAGAAAAAGTGTTTCTATGTAAGAAATGAGACACATTAGTCATTAATGTCCTCTCTTCAGTAAGCAATACTTCCATTATCATTGGCACTTCTAAATGTTAGTATTCAGGAAAATAAAACATATTGATGGATACATTAGCAAAAGCATAAATGGTTCAGAGAGAAAAGTCCACTCAGTGCAGACGCAGTTTATATGTTTTTGTTTTAAACATTAAATAAACAGATCTATTCATTTAGTCATCTTTTACTTTTTTATTTTGATCGCACATTTTGAGTTCCACCTCAATAATTCGAATAATTTTCGTAAAATATATATTTGTTAGATGATGAACTGAAATATGTTACAATAAAAATATGGTGGCCATTTATTTCTTTTTATGAACAACACAGAATGTAGTTCTTGTGTGAATGGGTGTTACAACATGATTATTCATTCATTACCTTTTTTTATTTAAAAGGTCCCATGTCGTGCTTTTCTGGTTATTACCCGTCCCCTTGTGTGTTATGAAGGTTTTTCTGCATGTAAACGGTCTGCAGAGTCAAAACCCTCAAAGTACACCCTGTAGCGAGTAAAACTCTAACACAGAAAATACCTGTCTATGCTGAACCAGAAAGATTTCTCTTTTTCTTCCTGGGTACAGTGACGTGACAACGACCAAATGGACCAATCCGTGGAGCTCCTCACACACACACTCAGCCTTATCTTTTCTCAGCCGCAGCTGCGTGGATCTTCACTCACAGTTCGCCACACACTCACGTGTGTGTGCTCAGGCTGAGTTTCGCCATCTCGCAGACCCCACGCAGCAACCAGGAAACGACACCAGTAATCCAGCTCACACTGTCCGCTCCTCGCAGCAGCGAGTCCAGCAACGTCCCGCCAACACGGCACCCAGACCCCACGCAGCATTCTCGTCTGTTTGTCATTACTGGTGTCCTTTTCTGGTTGCTAACAAACACCATTGTAACACATAAACACACATCAGAGCACGGTTGGCTCATAGGGGGGGGGGGGTTAGGAGCTCCAACAAGCCGTTTAAGACAGAGAGTGAATCCACATACTATACAGAGATGCTGTATGAGAAACCAATGTGAGTTTGGAACATTGAACAATGTAAATCTATTCTAGTAGACCTCAAGAATGGAATTATGATCAGTAGAAAAGGCCATGACATGGGACCTTTAACACAATTTTCGGAGTAAAGGGAAAAAGTAATTCCCTTTTTTGTGTAGGCATATTGTGGCTGTAATGAACCCTGCCTGCAGCCTATAGAGGGGGCTCCTTAGACTCAAAACACTCAGACACTAGAGCTCAGTCCTACTTGAGGCAGTCGCAGGTCACCAGCAGGTGGGACTCGGTCATCCTGAAGATGTTGTGGATGGCTCTCGCTGCCAGGATCTGCCTCATGGTCTCTGAGATGATGTCCACTGACTCGGGGGTCTTCACCTCCATGGAGCCCAGGAAGCGAACGATGAAGAGCTGGTGGAGGATCGAGTCTGGACAGCAGACAATAAGACTTCCATCACACACCAATCAATTTCACTGAGAAAACTCAAGGAAGTGAGCTGCTTTTATCCAAAGTTAACCAGACAAACATGTACTTAAATAACCAAGTTGTCCTTATCTGAAGCATTTGTTTTATAAAACTAAAACATTATGTTACAACAAATAAGTTTCACTTTAGACCAAGATTATTATCGAGAATGGCCAATGGTGCCCTTTGAGGCCTACAAGGGAATAAAACCCTCTTCAACCACAAATCTTAGTTAAATCAGATGTTCTTTGCCCCTGTGAGCCAATACAAGTTTGTCTCACAAAGTATAGCAGAGAAGACAACACTTTCTAACTTTTTTTTTTATCTGAATAGTATGAAGTGTAGACCGATGTTACCTTCACTGTCCTCTGAAGTGCTGTCCCCTGACTCTCCAAACGGGTTACTCCTCCTGTGGAAAAACACACAAAATCAAACACAACCCTTTTATTTATCGATCTGGTGCTGAGCTGAATTTATAAGTCGATGTCCCATACCTGCCGGACTGTGCTGCCGTCTTGCTCTGTCCTGAGTTCTCCTCTGTGACGGGGGATATGATGTCAAACTGGATTGGTGTTTCCGGGGCGACCAGGGCGTCCAATGAGAGCACAGAGAGGGCCGGCGACAGCTCAGAGCCGACAGAGCTTATGCTGCTAGCTCGGCCAGCACGCCCTTTACTGGAATAATGACCAAGAGAGATTAATGAAGTTATCGGTGGAGGTCCAGAGGTCCTACCACACTACTTTATGATTTTGGAAGGTTAAATGTTATCACCAGAAATAAAAAGCTAACTAACTAACTACAGCAAGGTTGCATGACTTCATATCACCACCGCTTAGCTAAAGGGGGGTCATGCTTGGTGTAATGATGATGAGCAGTCTCATTTAGCCGTTTTTAGGACAAATGTATTTTATGTCATAGAAACATTTGTATTGGTAAAAGTGTATTAACAACAGACATTATTTCAGGCGTTTAACCAAAAACAGATAACAAAAACCATTGACTTTGAGAACTGATAAAGGAAAATGCTAAAAAAAAAAACTAACTCCAAGTTTTAGCACTAATTTGTGCAGCACTCTATATCTGGAAGCGAACAGGTTCTGAGGTTGTTGATCAAACATTGTAGTTTTTGTAGGGATATGTGTTGACACTGGGGGCCTTTATATACATACACACACACACACACACACACACACACACACACACACACACACACACACACACACACACACACACACACACACACACACACACACACACACACACACACACACACACACACACACACACACACACACACACACACACACACACACACACACACCTGCTGGGTCTCATGCTCTCGTGCCTCTGCTGGAAGGACGGCGACGGCGTCACAGCTTCAAGAGCTGATTGGTTCACTCTGGCCGCAAGCTCCTGCCAATGGGAAGAAAGAACAGTCAGCATCAAGCATCAGGAACATATATGTTATTTTCACTTTCCATGTATTTATATTTTAACTAATTATTTTGTCACAGTCCATACAACTAAATAAAATAAAATTATACATCTAATAAAATGTAAAAAAAATGAACAAATGATCAATCCATCAAATCATCTATAAATGTGAATTTATATTTTGGTACTAGCTGCCAAAGTCTCCACCATGATCTGTGACTAGGTAAATGAGTAAATGAGGGACACACAGACCTCTGCGTTCTCACTCAGGTAGATCCTTTTGGAGATGTTGTTGATGGTAGAGATCCACTGCAGGAGGAAGCAGCAGGGAGACAAAGTGATTACAAAAAAACAGTCAACACAGAACAGGTCACATGACAGAAAAACGTTTTACCTCATCGCAGTCCCTCCTGCTCTCCGACTGCAGCGTCACCACCCTGACAGAACGGAGAAATCAGTTGAATACAGTGGCATTTATTCATGGTGGAGAAATGGAAGAAAAGGGAGCCCTCTCACTTCTTGCCATCAAAGGAAGTGACCTGGAAGCAGAAGCGGCGGTCGTCGCAGTCCACCGCCATGACGGAGCAGTTGTCCAGGTCGGTGACGAGCCCTCCTGCCACCTCGCCGCGGCCCTGCTGCATCAGGTTGCCGCCCTGCGTGAAGAAGTACTGACGCTCCCAGGACGACGACACCAGCCCCGTCTTACTGAGAGACACACACAGAAGAGCTGGTTTAAAACACAAACTACATATTAGATGTAAAGATCGTCATTTATTTTAGCTCCACATTGCCACAAAAGCACACTACGCAAACATGACAGAGGAACGTAACAGGTAAAACACTTTATGAAAACCAGTGAAGTATAAGTGCTTAAATAGAACAAAAGGATAGCACAACACAGGGATCGTACAGCTTTTTAAGAGTGTCAAGCACTTTCATGGTAACCAAATCAAATATGTACAGACTCTTGAACCTTTGTCATTACATCTAAATATTTACAGTAAATGCAACTGAGAAAATAAATGCTAAAATAATTCCCTCAAGGCCACACCAATAATGTGTATAGACACGTGTTTAAATTAAATGTTGTAGTAATGGGTCTCTGTTGGAGCCACAGCTTGGGCGTAGGGGTGTATGGTGTCTATCCCACTGTATCTATGATTTATTGCATTTTATATGACTTTAAATATCAATAACAAGACCTTGAAAAAAATATGTCCAGATGTTGTTAACACTGATTGAAATTATTGACAAAAGACAGAAAATTAATTGTAAAAAATTATCCTTTAGCAGTTTTGTGTTTCATGAAATGTTTCCACAAGGATTATTTACATTTTCTGCAAATAAAAAAGTATGAAATGAAAAATGATTTCAAAGATCAGATTATAATTTATTCACAGAGGAGCTTTGATCAGAAAATGTAATAAAAAGAAAATGATATATATATGAATGTGTCCTACTTGCGGATGTGCAGGTAGCCCTGTTTCCTGGTCAGGTTCCTGCAGACAGGTGAGTGGGCGGGGTCAGGGTCACATGGTACGTATAGAGGGTCACATGATCGCTCCATCTCCTGGATCGTCTCATGCATCTGCCCGACCTCCGTCTCCATCTCCCGACGCACACTGCAAACACACACACACATACAATTAAGTCACATGTTCACACTTATTTTTAACATCTTATCAGTACATTTCATTTAGCCGATGCTTTTATACAAAGCGACTTACAACAAGTGCATCAACCACTAAGCTTCTTATTCAGAACAGCAAGAATCCTGCAAGTTTCTTACTTCTGGACGCTGGTTCCTATTGTTCCCAGGAAGTCCTCCCACTGCTGGGTGAGATTTTCTGAACCCAGCTTAAAGAAACTGATCTGGACCGGGGGGAAAAAACAGTCAAAGATAAATCAGCAGGTTTCTTAACAGCTCTCAAAACATCTGAACAACATCATTTTAACACTTGAGCCTCATTTTGGAACAAAGACCAAAAATTTCGCCGCAGAGCTGCCAACCTTTGTTTGGATATACAGTGGGGCAAAAAAGTATTTAGTCAGCCACCAATTGTGCAAGTTCTCCCACTTAAGAGAGGGGCCTGTAATTTTCATCCTAGGTACACTTCAACTATGAGAGACAGGATGGGGGGAAAGAACCCAGGAAATCACATTGTAGGATTTTTAATGAATGAATGAATTGATAAATTCCTCGGTAAAATAAGTATTTGGTCACCACAAACAAACAAGATTTCTGGCTCTCACAGACCTGTAACTTCTTCTTTAAGAGCCTCCTCTGTCCTCCACTTGTTAACTGTATTAATGGCACCTGTTTGAACTCGTTATCAGTATAAAAGACACCTGTCCACAACCTCAAACAGTCACACTCCAAACTCCACTAGGGCCAATACCAAAGAGCTGTCAAAGGACACCAGAAACAAAATTGTAGACCTGCACCAGACTGGGAAGACTGAATCTGCAATAGGTAAGCAGCTTGGTGTGAAGAAATCAACTGTGGGAGCAATTATTAGAAAATGGAAGACATACAAGACCACTGATAATCTCCCTCGATCTGGGGCTCCACGCAAGATCTCACCCCGTGGGGTCAAAATCATCACAAGAACGGTGAGCAAAAATCCCAGAACCACACGGGGGGACCTAGTCAATGACCTGCAGAGAGCTGGGACCAAAGTAACAAAGGCTACCATCAGTAACACACTACGCCGCCAGGGACTCAAATCCTGCAGTGCCAGACGTGTCCCCCTGCTTAAGCCAGTACATGTCCAGGCCCGTCTGAAGTTTGCATTTAGATGATCCAGAAGACGCTCCACGTCCGTCGACGTGGTCCATTTTTTTTCAGGGGGAGGGGGGGGGTGGGGCCCTTCTCCCCGGTCCGGTCGTTTCCGTCCTGTGCAAAACTCTTCAAGGCCCTTACCCACCTCCGTCGGCAAACCTCCTCGATCCGTCCACTTCGGCCCTCCTAGTCTTCCTCCGTCACCTCGCCGCTTTGCCTCGGCCACAAAAGTCCATCCTTTTGCTGCCTGTGAAAGTGTGTAGGAGTCACCTAGGTCCGTACATTCTACTGTATCTAGAATGGCCTGACCAGCCGGTTTTTCGACGATTCTTTACAACTCTTCTCATCTTTTCTCATTTTTTTTTAGGTCCTGCTCTTCGCCTGCTCGTTCTGCTGCGCGTCGCAGAGAGTGTAGGCCCACTCTTCTAATAACTACTGAGGTCATTCGTACTCCTGTGTGACATGGTGTGCTGTGTGGATGTCGAAGATTTGGATTTCGTAATATTGTCCGATGTCGGCAACCATATAAATAATACACTTCGTGATTTCCAAAATCTTCTTATACCTGAGAAAACAAACATCTTATACGATGATTTTGATTTCGTTTATTTCTCTGATCCGCGACAATATGACTCACTATATATATAATATGGTGTGGACGAGACGGAAGACGTGCCTTGGGAGTGTCGACAAGAGTGACATTTGTAACGACAGCGCTACTTTCGTCAATGATTTTATTATAGGTCCCCTACCGTACGTCTCGACAGGTAACCGACTCTATTTCAGGCCGGCACGCAGTGGCTGAGAAATTTTGTAGAGACAAGGGCCTTTAACGTCAGATGATTCCTCGGTCACCTCCTGGGGTAGTTCAAATAGGAGCCAATTTCGAGGAGGTCTCTCGGAGGAGCTACGAGCTAGGAGCCAGGAGGCAGGGGTCTATCACGTAATCTCTTTAATCTACAGGAAGTTGTACGCGCGACTTTAAGTAAAAGGCCCAGTGATGGTGCTCCTGGCTCCTCCAGCTCCTCCCCCTAAAACTACTTACTTTTTCCCGGCACACACAACCTATATGTCACACCGTTTTTTCACAAATCAGTCGGTGGTTACACGTTCAAAGAGGGTGAATTTTTCTACTACTCCGGACAGGTAAAAGGTAGGATCCAATATGGAGTTGATACTTCTGTTTTACTTTTTTTTTTTTGAGGTCTTTTAGTTACAGACTAAAATTTCTAAATAAAACGTTTAATACCACCTTTTATTCATAAACCAGTTATTGGTTTTCAAGTAGAGTATAGAAACAATATATGGGAAACAACCGTTACTGTCTCCAGTTTGCAAAAGACATTCAGAAGTGTTCCAGAGAGTGTGTGACAACGACCATAAAAACCGGGTAAGGAGTACGTACTAGAGGAGATCTCGTCACTACACAACCCCCGACAGCGACCCGTTGTGCCTGAAAGTTGAGGGAGGTTCTAAAAGATACCCAACTCTAGACCTCTGACGATCTCGGGAGGTCCTGGAACTTGTACGAAGAATGCTCGGTGAGGAAGCAACGGGCCCGGCCAACAACCCTAGTAACAGGTACGACTTTCTGGGTCGGTGCAAAGTAGAAGGTTACGGGAACGACTACCTTCTCCACCAGTGAGTTTTAGAGTGCTATGTACCGGGGTAAGTAAGGAAAGGAAATGTGCCTAGTCAGCAGGACCAGGGGAAACGTCTTTTTGTCGGGGTTTCGTACTACAAAGGTGGGGGTACAAGTGTCATCCATACCACAAGAAACCTACGTTGAGTCGTAAGAAGAGAGGGGTTTGTGCAGATCAACTCAAAAATGGTTTTTCAAGATAAACCAAAGTAGACTGGTATTCTGTAANAAGTGCTTTAGTATATAAGTGCTTTGTTAGTAATTCTATCGCTCGAAGTGATAGCTTGCACATCTTCCGGCGCAGACTGAAAACTCATCTCTTTTGACTCCACTTCGAGCGATAGAATTACTAACAAAGCACTTATATACTAAAGCACTTATATACTAATAAAGGATTGGCTTATCTATAGCTAGTTGAGTAGCACTTGAAATGTTTGGCTCTATGAAACCTGATGTACTTATATGATTCTGTTTTCTTCAAGGTTGTATCTTCCTGGTCGAATGTACTTATTGTAAGTTGCTTTGGATAAAAGCGTCAGCTAAATGCAATGTAATGTAAAAAAGACTCTTTACCAGATGTGTCTTTTAATATCCGTAATAGCCTTGTTTCTTCTTATTCTCAGTCTATTTATACCTCCTGCTTTTCTTTATTGTTGTGTGTTTGTGTGTGTATCAGTGAGCGTTTGCAGTGATGGATGAGGGGGAAGTGTCCAAAAGTTCTCATGTTGAAACTAATCACCGTACTGTCAGTCAACCTCACTGACCCTGCCTCACCTCTCCCCATCTCCCCGCCCCCCGCTTCAATGTTGGTCTCTGATTTCCCATCTTTAATGCACTCTGTATTTTGAAGCATCTCTTGTGTTTGAACTCTTCTTCAACCCTCTTTTCTTTCATTGTCTTTCTTTATCTCCCTTTGCTAGATTGTATACTTCTTTCATCTCGAAGTGCCACTCCATCCATCTTTCTCTTTCCCTGTCCTGTTCACTGAATCTACCTCATTCTTCTCTTTTTTATACTGTTTAGCTCTAATTAACCCATAATTTCCTGCTGTTTCTGCAGTGGAATTCTCTTTCAACTTTTAGCTACCTTTATGAATATATTTGCATAGGATTATTGTTACGGGCTATCGCATCGCATCATCTGTTATTTCCTCACTGACGAGCAAGAGGCCCTGCATTTTGTATTCTTAATATTGATAATACGTTGTTTTTTTTCTTGTGGTGATACTTACCTATTTGTTATTTCACAGAGGAATGGAATCCTCTGTTTCTTATAACAACAACGTTCTTAATTTAGTTAGCGTTCGGTTCAATTAACAAACGCACCCATTACAAGCTGAATACGATCAGCACTGCACAATTAATATAAATAAAGATAATTGGATTGGATTGCATTGATTTAGAGATGTAAATCGATCTACTATAATATGATTCAATTTGACTCTAGATGCAATGGAAGTTATTAGAAGCTATCTTGGTAATTGCATTTTGTAATGATCTGAAATGCTTAAAGTGAAAAGTTAAAAGTTTGTCTGATAGTTGAAGTTATTACAAAAACACTATTGCATGCTAATGTAGAAGCCCGCAAGTTAGCTCACCAAACCTCCCCCTGTGATCCATGTTTGTTTTAGTTAGCCTCTTTTTTTCATCTGGAGCATCCACTACATAAAAACTTTTTGGACTGCTTCTCAAGATTTTCTGTCAACATTTCTACCATATTCCTTCCTGCATTCTGCTCCGTCGAATGGCAATGTAATTATTTGCGCAAGAGGTCAGAATGTTAAAGTCTGGCTCTCCCTGATTTCAACATGCATGATGCTTTTTGGGACTTTCCTTTTCCTGTAGTTTTATGTTTTTGTGCATGTGATTGATCTGCAAAGGCTTAATTCCCCTCCAGAAGAAGTTTTTCTCCCATGCACTCCCCCCCCTGCCTGGAACACCTCCATTGGACTCTTCTGTTTAGTTCCGTAACATAGTGACATCAAGTTGTAACATCACGTTGTAACATACTGTTGAGATCCAACACATTGTACGTGACATGCTTAGGGGTGACACATCTCTAAAGGGTTGACCAATCACACCAGAGCCAGCCAGCTAACTGGATTGGATTCTAAATCTGGTTTGATTTAGAATTTTATTTTATTTTTAATTAAAGCATATAAACATGTCACAGAGGCCCACAATATAAATATAAACCTGCAATTAAGCAATCTCCTTCTGTTTGTTTAACAAAAAATGGCATTTAGTGTATATGTTTCTGACTCCAAGCCCTTCAGCTTATGAAAGATACTTACACAAGAGGCAACAAGGCCAAGGACTATACATTTAGCCCTATCCCCTGGATACATTCTGGGAGGTGGAGAGACAAAGAAAAAAGAGGCATGTATTGATGGAGAGAAATAATACAAAAAAAATGGGATCAACAAAAGAACAACATGGAGAGAAAGAAAAGGATTAACACTAGGAAAAAAAAGAG